CAACATTTTCCCTTCCGAATGAATCAACCACACTGTGGGTTTTTTTTTTTAATAGAAAGCTTTTATTTAATAAATATAAATTTCATAAGTACAACTTTTGGATTATAAGGGTTCTTTCCCCCATACCCACCCTCCCACCCCCAAACCGTCTCCTCTCCTACTCCCTCTCCCATCCCATTCTTCATTAAGATTCATTTTTAATCATCTTTATATGCAGAAGATCAACTCTGTACTAAGCAGAGATGTGAACAGTTTGCACCCACACAGACACACAAAGTATAAAGTACTGTTAAGTCTGAACAGAACTCCCGGTTCCCCAAAGCAGCTCCACTCGCCCCAGCTCCATCCCACCCAGCCCAGCGCCCCACCCCCGCCCCGTGCAGGAGAGGGCCCCCCACCAACAGATAGGGAAACCCCCCAGAATCCCCCGCTAGGATCCTCAATTCCTCTGTTCTCCCAGGTTCCAGACTGCCAAGTCCCATCTCTTCTTCCTACATAGCACCCCTCCCCTCCCCCACTCCACGCCCCAGGCCTCATGGTGGGATGGGGAAATCCCCGCCTGCCCTCTGGGCTTCTACTGCCTTCCCAACACAGCTGGGGGTCTTCACTTTTCACTCTGTACCTCCACGTCATTGCAGCTTTCCCCAATGTTACCATCTCGCCGCATTTTCTTTGCCCTGCCCCCTCCCTGCCTCCACCTCGCCCCCAGCATAGAGCGCACAGGGAAGCACCTTCCATATTTTTTTTTCTGAACGTTGCAAAGAAAGCCCAGACATGGCAGTCTTCACCCCCAGATGCTTCCGTGCATTTCTGAAAGATGAAGGCGTCCTCACACAACCACAGGTAGCAATCCAGAGTGGGAAGCAAACGCCAGGCAGCACCCTGACCTCACCTCCACGTCGCACCCCGATTTTACCACTCGGCCCCGCGTGTGCTTTACGGCAGATGGCAATCCCGGCTCACCGACGGCATTGAGTAGAATCACTTCTATCAGGTTCCGGTGCTCTTATCCGGGCATCTAGAGGGAGCCCAGTCTCCCAGACACGCCCACCCCATTGCTGGCTCTCTGGCTTTTTCTATGGCAGCATGCTCGCTGGTGCCCCGGCTGCACTGGGCTGGCCTCAGGCTCCTGCACAGGCTCTGCAGGGACTGAAGAGGGCACCGGGCAACAGGGGAGGGGTCAGCCGTACAGCAGGGACAATGCCTGGGCTCACACCTCGGCTCTGATGGATGAGCACAGGGATTTAGGGCAGGTGGCTTGTAACTCAGTTTCCCTATCTGGCAGTTACTTCAAACAGGGGCATTTGTTCTGAGATGTAAATGAGTTCAGAAATGCTTCCCAGAATATGCCTTACACACAGCAAGTGACCAGGGGTCATTACGGATGTCCTGACGGGAGCCCTGGGGGAGCGCTGGGACATGAAAGCTTCTCCAGGCTGCAGAGCCTAAGGCTCCACTCTCACTCCACTCCACTCCGGAAGCAGCTCCGCCCCTGGGAATTCCTCTCCAGAGTTCCTTGGGAACACACCCTAGCCTGCCTTAGGACCGGGCGTCTTTATGTTCTCTGTGCTGGGCACGTGGTAGGGCCTTCATTAACCGCTGAATTATCTCCTCAGGAATATGACCACCTGAACTAGCGAAGACAACCAAGGGGTTGCGTAAGCTCTCTGTTGCCTCTCCTGGTTCTGAAAGCCAGCGCGATGACGTATCTGGAGAGGGGTGGCCCGAGTTCCATCTTGTTCAGCTACTAGATAAGGGGTTATTACGAGAGCGGCTTCTCTCCAGATCTGCTTTAAAGGAGAGGAGGCCAGGTAGTTATTATAACCGTGCCCTCCTGGGTCCCTTTCAGCATGTAATTAAGCACCAGCAGGCTCAGCAACAAGGGCCTTGGGCGGTCTCACATGCCTCCACGGTCATAAATTCTTCTAGGGGCTTTGGGCTTGCCCCAGGAAAAGGAGCTGGAGTGTTAGAAGTCACTCACAAAATCAGCGGCCATCCTTTGCCCTGGGGGGTTTCCACCTCCTCCTAGCACATTCCAGTCTTGCCTCGTGGGGAGTTTTAGCAATCGGTGGTCCCCACTACCCCCACCCCACCCCTTCCGCATTCATGTCGTTTTTATAGAGGACTCTTCAAGCAACTTTCCTGGTTCAGGCCTTGAAGCAGGTAGGAATGAATCAGTGCTCCCGGCTGCCAGCAGTGGAAACCAACTGGCTAATTTAGCTCAGAGAACTTACTGGAGGCCCAGGGCTAGTGGCCGGGTGGCCGGGTAGCCAGGCACCATGGCCACGCAACACCCAAAGCCCTACAGCCTCCAGGGTGCCCGCTTGCCCCGCTTTGCCCCCCAGGCATGGCGGTGATGCAAAAAGCACTGGATTGGCCAGGGGCTGCCCTTAGCCATTTGCAAGGCGGAAGGCAGGGGGCAGAGGGAGGCAGGCACACACAAAAGGGAAGTTGAAGCCGGAAAACATGGGCTGCACTGGGTGTTGGACACCCCTCATCCTAGAACAGGGCTCACTAGCAACGTATAGGAGTCACAGGAAGCAAAGTGGGGTGGATGGATAAAAAGATTGCACACCTTGGGAAACACTGGAAAAGTGGCAGTTCTCACCTAAATTAATATACAGCCATTGTAATCCCCAACGAGACCTCCACAGAGCTTTCCACGGAGCTTAAACTAATTCTAAAATGCACATAATGGCAGGTGTTTACATTAGGGGTTAGGATGTAGGTTAAGATGCCCGTGTCCCATATTGGAGCTCCTGGATTCAACACCCGCCTCTGACCCCTACTAACACAGCCCCTGGTGACAGCGGTGAGGGCTCCTGCCACCCACATGGGCACTTGGCTTGAACTCCTGATGCCTGGTCCAGGAGCAGCTGTTGCAGGCGTCTTGGGGGATGGGGTGGGGACGGAGGGTGAACCAGCTTGATGAGAGTTCTCTGTCAGATAAGTAAAAAAAGTTAAAAAACAACGTTGGCAAAAGAGATTTGTATGCTTCGTATGAGAATATTCCTAGCAGCTTTGCTCATCATATCACCAAACTGGGAAGCACTCGGGTGTCCACGAATGCGGTGACAAAGGCTGTGGTTTGTTGGTACAGAAGAATCCTACTCAGTGATACAAAGGAAGAGATCACCAGCCATTGAACAAGGAGCTCAGAAACAAAACAAAACAAAACTGAGCAAGAGGAGCCAGACACAGCAGACCACGTTCTGCACGATTCCATTCAGAGGGGGCTCAGAGGAGGGCAAGACTAATTTTTGGCTGAAAACCCCTTAAATCATTCCTGGGGGGTGGAGGAGGGACTTGTTGGGAATGGGCAGATGGGAAGGTCCTAGAGCGAGGGTGATGTCTTTTTCTTGATGGAGACTGAGTGACAGCTGTAGCCTTTGTCAAGACTTGGAAAATGCACACTTGCTGCAGATTTGCATGTTTTATTGTATGCAAGCTTTATCATCAATGAACGTTGAGTGACAGGCTGAATACTTAGAGAGATTACTGATGTCTGCAAAATCTGAGACAGATTAATGGGTGGATGCAAACAATGCAAATACAGTAAATATTAAAGGGGGAAGCTGGATGGTGAATATGCGGATATCCTGCGTGAAATTATTTGGACTTTCCGGTATGTTTGAAATTTTTTCTTAAAAAATTGCTGTGGTCAAAAAAAAATTTAAAAAAAAGATAAGCAACAGATGGATGGATCAAGACTTCCTCTACAGAAGAGCTTTTTGACCAGAATGTACAAAGAGCGAGTTTGTCAATAGGAAAATTAAAATTCTATAAAAAGTAAGCAAAGGCCTTCAGAAATCAAGACAAATGCCAGCAACGCCAGCAAAGATCATGCAGCTTGTCAAACAGCAGCTTAAGTTTAAATCAACAGTGCCACTCTCCTCCCCGCCGCCCCCCCTGCACCCCTCCTCACCCCCACTACCCCCCAGGCTGAGGGCAACTGGTGGGATTTGCTGTGCATCTGCGGAGGGCGGTCGTTGGTCATTGAAGTGGTTGTCCCCCCTGCCTGCCCCAGCACTGCAACGGGACCCAGTGAGCAAACTACACCTGTGCTCTGGCACCTGGAGCAGCGGTCCAGGAAGTGGTTCACTGTGGAAGGACTGGTGACCGGCTGCCACGTCAAAACCGCCACCCGTCACAGCACCTCCAGAAACAGCAAGGTCACTGCACTGCTAAGCACCGCTCTCCCCACCCGTGCCTCCCTATAAAGGGTTCTGGAAATCACCAACTCCCTCCCACCTGGCTGAGGCGGCGGCACTGGGAGCAGCAGCCAGCAACAACTTGATGTGAAACAAATGCACTTGGAAATGAACTGGTTACAAACTGATAAGGCCCCACTCACCTCTCGCTCACCTGGTGAAAACCGCAAGCAGGGACAAGTCACCAGGCGCACAGCTCAGCTGCAGCCGTCCACCTCCTTAGCCTCAAAGTGGCCAGTCTCACCAAGGCTTCATGACCTGTGTCCCCTACTAGGCTCTCATTGTCCTCCATCAGTCCTGAATCAGCTCTCACCTGCGTGCACCCCACAGAACTCAGAGCCTCCCTGGCGTGAGGGCTGAGGCCAGCTCACACCAGGGACCAGGCACTTGTAGGATGGAACATGCTTTGCAGACAAGCCTTTGTCACTGGAGTCCAACTAGACCTCCTGTCTTTTTATCTGCAGAGTTTTAGACGGGGTAAGACGGCGGGGCATGAACTGGGGGCAGGGCCGTCACCTAAGACACCTGCTTCCCCGCTCCCCCTCCCCCTCCTTCCCACATGCTGAGTCATTTCCCACTGCAGGGGCAGCACACTCTGCCCTCAGCCTTCTCAGCAGCTACTTCAAAACTGCGGAGCGGTTTGCCTCTAAGTCTATCACGGACTTTGTGTTCCAGCAAGGATTTGTAGGATGATCTACCTGGGGCAGGTGTGTGGGGGCCTCCATTCCGACACAACTTCAGCTGTTTCTCTGCCATTTCGTGACAACAAAAATCAAACAGCTCACCAACACAAGTTGAAAGTTTTATTTATATAAAATTCATTAAGAACATAAAAGATTGAGTTTCTTAAAAAAATGTGCAGTTATTTACAGCAGTATTGCACAAGTAAAGTGGCAATTACCCTGTCAAAATTCATCAGTGCAAAACACAAGGAAGCCAGGGAAATTGCAATACAAATGCTACATACGCTGGGTCCTAGGAAACAAGTTAGTGATGGATCAGTATACAGACAGATCAGTGCTATTTATAAATGGGTACCTGATGAGTTCGGATACAGTAACCAGTGGTCGCAGAATCTGGACAGAAAACCTAAAAGCCAAGACAGCCTCTCAAATCTGGAATTCTCAAATAAAAGTAGTCAAGTTACTGGAGCTGGGGGCTTGAGAATGCTTCCGGCACACAACGCTGTTTGCAGCAGAGCCTGGCCGACTTAGCATCACGTGTGGACACATCCCCGCACACGCGTGTGCTGCACACGCAGAGGCGCCAGGCTAAACCAGCAGGTAGTCACCTCGTCACCCTAGTGCTTCCGTGAGCTTCTACTTCTTGAGCCCCCCATCCCAGCTCAGCGGGACCCCCAAGTTCTCGGAGGGAGGGCTTTGACCTGAAGAAGCAGGGATGACCCCACGGTTGGGGGAGAGTGGATGGCTGCAGGATCAGCTCCTGCACACACAGTCCACACGGCAAAGCACAGGGAGCCACAGGTGCTCCTCACCAGCCTGGCCCTCACCCTGGAAGACCACGTGGCCGCACGTCCAGGAGGGGCGCATTTGCATCTCCTCTGCTTGGAGCTGTCAGGGATGAATTTTCAATGGAAAAAAAAAATCTTTCCCCAATGCTGGTAACACATTGCTGTTTTTAAAACGATGCGCGTCTGCAGTCGGCAGAAGTTAGCAGCTCTGCAACAAACAAAGTTGCTGAGTGTTTCTTGGAGCAGACTTGTGTAGCCAGCCGGATTTACACTTTCTTATTGGTATCTACACACAAGCTAAGGACAACAGAGTCCAAGAACTGAAACCCAGGACCCACGCTGGAGGCCGGTGGCCACCCCACACCTGGAGGGGGAAGCGTTCCATGGGGGTGGGGGCAGGGACGTCGGCACGTTCAAGAACTTACGACATTAAATAAGCAGAAAATAAATATACAATATTTCTACATGTTACAGCATCATGAAACAGTAGGACACATGACACAGAAAAAGAATCTACAATATTTACAGTCCTTGATTCTAAAAAGCTTAGAAAAAACAGTGATTTTTTTTTACTTATATAAGCTGTACAAAATTTTACAAGAAAGGTAAAGGAACACAATTGCACACAGACATCTGGCTCAGTTGATAAGTAAAATCTGACCTCCTAATCTAATAAATAGTCAAAATATATACAACATTAAGAAGGGAACACAGAAGAAAATTGTATTCCATTGCATTTTTCTCCCCACGTCACAAGGAATTTTTAAAATGTTTTCGCCAAAATCCATTCCCCCCACCCTTAACTGAAACTTCTTTACCGAATTGTTTCTAGAAGGTCATCTGTGGAATCCCTCGTGAAGCTACTGTGTGTGTGTGTGTGTGTGTGTGTGTGTTTATTGCATCTCGGTGCGAAGTCACAGGACACTTTCTACAAACCTCACACAGGGAGAGGTTATCAAGGCACAAAACCCGCATTACGTATTCAAAAAAGGGATCTAGCTCTTTTTCTTTTTTTTTCTACAAAAATTAAATGACGACAACAACAGAAGCTAAAACGTAAGAGGCATACCCAGGGCAGGTGCACTTCCTGCAGGGAGGCATCGTGACGGAGAGACGCCTGCAGTGACGGCGGGGAACCTCTCCAGGCTCTGCTGCCCACAGCCTGCTCCTTAACACTTCTACAATTCAGAGAACCTCTAACTCCTCAGAGCCTGGAGCCTGGGCGGGGGCCGGGGCCACGGCGAGCAGAGCCCCCACGCCTGTCCCCAGTGCTCTGGGGTTCACAGGGCTGAAGGAAGAGAGTAAAGTGCTGCAGTCACGGGGACTGGCACGTGGGCACGGGGATCCTGGGAGGGGGCGGCCCAGGACCAAATACATCTTTGGTGTGTGATGTCCAGCAGGCCCGTGGCTGCGATCCTGCAAACCGTGGGCTGTGTGTGACCCCACGAGTGCCCTCGAGACACGTCGAGAATCGAGTGGAGCGCCAACACAGCTTCTAAACTTTCCAAACTCCAGGGAGATTGGGGGGAAAAGAGAAAATTTTAACAAAGGAAGAGCATCTGAAATCAAATCATCTCTACCTAAAGGAAAAAATACAGAGGCTATACATACGTACATGTATTTTCATAAAACTGTGAAGACACAAATGCATGGATTTTCCCACTTAATTTAATGTTGATGTAAAAGCAAATGCAATAGTTGTTGGCGCAGCTGAAGATTGGTGGAGTCTTTTAAAAAAATTATTTTCTAAAATGACATGAGTCACCTCCAAGCTTCCACTGTTCCCTGGGCTGTTTCTCTCTTGGTGTCCCTGGTCACTGGACTGGCTTTGGAATGACGGACTGGAGAGAGGGCTCCCCAGGTACCGCCGCCAAGGGGCAGGGAGGCACCCGGGGGACATCCCACAGAGGTGGAGCCCCGGGGGGCCGAGAGAATCCCACTGTCCTAAGAGAAATGGAGAAAGCGGGCAGTTTGGATTCCCCCCTCGTGTTCTTCCCTGGCACTGCTGAAAGTGGAATTCAGCCTGTATGTCAAGGTAGACCGACAGGAGCTGGGGTCAAATGTCGGCATCACAGGCCACGTAGACTGGGGTGGGCTGACGGCCGATGCCTGGAGAATGGCCATATGGGGCCTCCCCCTCCCCCGGCCTGTGGCTGGATGCACAGGCGTGCTGACCGCTGGGGCTGGTGCTGAGCCTGCAGCCGGCAGCTGTGGGGAGGCCTGCAGTGCACAGAGCCCGGTCTCCACTGCTCTCTGCTCTTCAGCACGCTTCTCTCTCGCCACGCCATCAAAGTTACCCGGACACCCGCCCCAGAACTGCTTAGCGACTTGGCTAGTGCACAGGTGGCCTGGGCTGCCGTGCCCCATCATATCCAGTCGTGGGAAGACCCCTGGTCCATGTATGCCACAGAGCCCAGCTGGACCAGCAGAGCATCTTGGGAGATGGCGGGAAACCCACAAGCGCAGCCTGCAGGCGAGCCACGGTGCCACTGCACTCAGGAGGTAAGTAAATATTTACAAAACAGGAGCGGCCCCTCTGCCACTTGACTCCATTCTGCTCCATACACACTCTTTTGGTATTAACAATAATTACAAAAAAAAAAAAAAGAGAAAAAAAAGGTTAAAGCAACCACGGCAGGGAAGGGAGGGGACATGTCACACCTTGCCCTGTGTAAAAATTCTGTACAGTAATCTCTAAAAATAAACCAAGGCAGCTTTATAAATTAGCTGGCTCAGTTTCCACGGCAGGGTTTACATAATCCTCTGAGAGTAGGCAATAAGTTCTTAAAGTTTTAGTACAAAAATTATTCATGAGTTGGTTAAAAATTTTCCATTTCCTTTTTTTCAAAAACCTGTTCTTATTAAAGGAGGTGGAAAAAAAAATACAGACACTGCATGTAAACACCACTCTTGCATAAAATCCTGCTCCAAAGAACCATGATTTGTACATTAAGAAAAAAAGAACTCTCCCGCATTTACATTCAGGACACGCTCCCACCAGATCTTCCGGCACGTAGCGCCGAGCGAGAAGTCAAGTTCATGGCAGCGGGCGCAGGGCGTGAGGGCGGCGCAGCGTCCCCTGCGCATGCTCCCCTGCTGCAGAGCCACAGTGCCGCTGGGCTCCGCCGAGGCCCGGTCAATGCATCCTCCACACCAGGCGCACGATGTAACGCAACAGTCGCAAGATAACCATTTGGGGCTGCTCCTCCGCTGCTGGGTAATTATTCAAAAAAACCTGAAAGGACAAAAGCACAGCTTCTTAGTTTCTCCCTAATCACTGGGCACGTGTGCGCGCGCACACATTCACACACACACACACACACACACACACACACACATTTATTCATCAAATGAACCATCAGTCTCATCTTCCTGTCACTCTGGGGGCCAAAGCACCAGCTCCTCTCCGAGCCGGCTAAGGGAACTGGCTTCTAGTTCCTCTGCACAGGGAAGGCATGAAGCACAGGCACAGGCCCATCTCGTCGTCCTCCTCCTTTAAAGAAAAATTTGTCTATTTACTTGAAAGGCAGAGTGACGGAAACAGGGAGACACAAATCTTCCATCCACTGGATCATTCCCCAAATGACAATAGCCAAGGTCACGCTCAGATGAAGCTCCTGGCTTCAGCACTTCAGCCACCTGCGGCTGCTGCCTTCCCAGGTGCATTGGGAGGGAGCTGGATCGGAAGGGGAGCAGGTGGGACTCCAATACGGGATGCAGGTGTCACAAGCGACAGCTTAGCCTACTGTGCCACAACGCCGGCTCCTGGTTTCCTCCTACTGGAAACTGAGACAGGAAGCAACCAAGGAGTGTTTGGAAAACTCAAAAGAGAATCCCTAACCCTCAGTGCTCTGGGGAGGAAACCACACAGGTGCCGCAGAAAAGCCACCTTCCCTAGCACCTGGAGTCGGCGTCCCATGAAGAGAGGTGGGGGTAGCGGGGACAGAGAAGGAACTGGGTGGATGTGAAGCCATGATCTCACTACCCAAGTTCATTGACATTCTAATGTGTTGCGGACTCCCTGAGCTGCAATTTACTTGAGAAGGCAGTGATTTGGGGTAATTTTCCCCAAGAAGCTAAATGAAGTGGTACAGCGACGCAGCACTGTGCCTCTGGGCGGCTCTGCTGGACAAACACGATGACCCGAGTGGCGCCCGTGGTCTCGGACCCAAGGCTGAGTCAACTCCGCCCTCCCACCCTCGAGTGTGGGGAGCAAGGTGCCCAACAAAAAGGCGCCTCTTCGTGGGTGGCCAGTGTCCCTTTACTACACCTTTGCAGGTTTCAGAGCCTTGGGGTCTTGCAGGTTGCCCCTCTCCCCACCCCCGCCAGGTCCTGGGCCACCCTGTTGGGTCCATCCATTCAGAACAGCCGGACACGGCGACGGAACACGCAGCCTCACTGCCCCGAGCTACAACCTGCTTCACAGCTTGGGTCTGTGATGGGAGCCGGCTGTTTCCTTAACAACCAACCCACACGAGCCCGTGCTGCAGGGCTGTTGGCAGTCCACAGCTCCTCCAAAGCCCCTTCTTGCTCTGGCAGGATAAGGCTTCCAAGGTTACATGGCGGGAACCACCAGCCATAAATCCAGCCAGAATCAGGCCGAGAAACCGATCCCTTCCCAGGCCCCAAACGCCGCCAGCAGACACCAGCTGCGGCGGGTGCGCCTTCCCTGCCTGCCCCGCAGGTCCCCAGCGCCGGCCTGCCAGCCTGGCACGGCGGTACAGCCAGGGCCTTTCCCCTCTTCCTTCCAGGGCTTGGTGGCAGGAAATCAGCCTTCTGCGCGTGATTCCTGCCGAGGCGCCCCGTAACCACAGTCCGCGATTTTTATCTGCTGCACACACAACATTGCTTTGTTTTGATTTAACTTTCAAAATTACTTTGCTCCTTCAGTGTGAGAATAATTTAGGGGAAGGTTAATTTTAGTGTAGATGAACAGCAATAGGTCGAAAGAGGCTTATTCAAAATAAAACCACAGCTTACTAAAATGTAGAAAGCACGCGCTGTGATAGGCCATGTCGCTGCGCCCGCAGGGGATGTCTCGCAGCAACCTGGCGCCCGCGCCATCTTTGGTGCGGGCAGGGAATGGCCGCAGTGATGGGGCCGGGTCACACGGGGGACTCTTGGAAGTTTCCTATCCCAGGACTGAGTGGCCCACGCGCCCCATGAAGACAGCAGGACGATGACGGTGGCTGTGACTCGGGGCAAGAAGTCGCCCCAAGGGGACAGAAGGGACACAGGGAATTTGGGCCAAATGAACTCCCCGTGCCTGGCACATGGAACCTCGGCCCGTGGCTCTCACCCAGCAGGCACGGCAGCAGGCACACCTTTGGGCCAGTCAACAACCACTCTTGGACGACACTGAGCAGCGAGGCCATTATCACTGACTCACAGAACTGAGCCAGCCCTGACAGCCTCGATGGCTGGCCCCGCGTCACGGCTGCCTGCTGGCTGGCTGGCTGGCTGGCGGTGTGCGTGTGTGTGGCCCATGGCAAGCAGGTACCTGCTTCCCGCACACACAAGCTGCCCTCTCCTATCCACAGCCACACGCGCAAACACGGCTTCTCGGGTGCACAGCTCGGGCCTGGTGACGCCAGTGGGGCAGGTGGCCCCGCAGCTGGGTGAGGACGCGGAACTAGCACCCAGCGTTCGGCATCGCTTGTGTTCAACCCACAACAGAGCTCCCTGCGTGCTCTGCTTGAGGAACCGCTGTGCCACTGAGCTCCCCAAGCAGGGCCTCTGGCTGGGAGTGGTTAAGGAGGGAGCTCAAGGCGATCGGACAGAGCCCCCAGGACGCAGGGCATTGGGGAGAGGTCCACGCAAGCGTGCACCTGGTAGGTTGTGGCCACAGCAACGTGTCCAGGATGGCACCGGCAGGTCTGATCACGCAGCCACTGCATTGTGGGGGGGAGGGGTCCTCAGTTACACCAGGTGCAAGGTGAGACCCCGCTGCCCCCCAAGCCTGGCACTGCAACTTGCGGAGGGAGTGGTCCCGGGCATCTCATGTGGGCTACAAGGAAACAGAAGCCCGTGCGCAGGAGAAGCAGCAGCCGTGACGCCTGAAGCTCCTGCCTGGTGCCCCTCCAGGTCTGGGTCCGCCCTGGTGGCTGCTTCTCAGGGCCAGGGGCACCTGCGCACTGTGGGGACATTTACGTTCTTCCAGTCCCAGACTGGGCAGCACAGGAAAGACAGTCCTGTCTTCTAGTCCTGAGTGGAAGCTCCACCTCTCCTGAGAGGCAGGGAGGTTGCCGGTGCTCTGGGCTGAGCCCAGCACCTCAGAGTGGCGCTGTGACCAGAGGTGAGGTCCGGCTCCCCCAGCAGGGCTGAGAGCAAATTCCGGAGTCCCTGTCCCTGGTCATGCTTTCATTCCTGGGCCTGCAAGCTCCAAGTGAGAGCAGCGTCCCTTAGTCTGACTTGCAAAACGACTCTGGACAGGTGCCCTGCTCCAACTACCCGGTGAAGGAGACTTCTCAAGGAAACCACACCTGCTCCTGAGTGCAGACAATGCTCCTGGCTGTGCCACGCCTTCTCCTTGCCAGGGCCCCAATGGCAAGCCAGCCCGGGCTCCATCAGGAGCTATAGGAAAGCCGGGCTACTGGGGATAATTGACTTTTACAGCCATCCTGCCATGTCCACGGACCACCCCTCAAACATGCATAGCTTCCCGGCTGGCAGAGAGAGCCCCTGGGGAAAAGGGGCTCCAGCCAGCATCCCAGCAGGGGCCTGCTCTCACGCAGAGATACCTGTCGCCTGTCGCCTGTCGCCAGCCCAAGGTAATCAACAAGATAATAGCGCAAGGACAATGCAGAGGTAAACAAACAGAGAGAGAGAAAAGCATTTGCTGGGGAGGCAGGTGGGGGAGTAGGGCAGGCAGGCTCCAGAGCTAATCCCTATGCAGAGCCCACAGGAGACAAGGACTGGAGCAAGGAAGGGAGAAAAGGCACAGGGAGGAACCGGGAGTGGGGCAGGAGGGCACTGCACTTGACAAGGGGCACCGGCTCATCGGAGGCAACACTTCTCCCGGCACGTGAGAATTTGATTTCTTGTAATATGCCAGGATGAACAGCCAGGCTGAGCTACAGGACTGCTGATTTCCCTCTTACACACAGGGGCACAGTACTCTGAAGATGTGGGCAACGCCCCTGGGGACAGTGACAACAGCATTCACACAGGGAATTCCTAAATGGTTCCTTGTCCCTGCAGGACCCAAGACGCAAGAGGACTCAGGTAGCAGCTGGGAGAGGGGCCGTGCCATGGGGCTGATGCTGACCCACCAAGGGCTGGGAGCTGCCAGCGAGGTGAGGGACATGCAGTGTTTGACAACAGCATGGACACTCTGACCTGCTGGGGTCAAGGCTGGGGGACAACTGGACATGGCCACAAAGCCATCACCAAACCAGTAGCACATTCAGTTTACACTTGGAACAACCCATCAAGTATCAGGCAATGCAATTACTCTTTTTTTTTTTTTTTTTTGGATAGGCAGAGTGGACAGTGAGAAAGGGACAGAGAGAAAGGTCTTCCTTTTGCCGTTGGTTCACCCTCCAATGGCTGCCCCGGTTGGTGCGCTGCGGCCGGCACACCACGCTGATCTGATGGCAGGAGCCAGGTAGTTCTCCTGGTCTCCCATGGGGTGCAGGGCTCAAGCACTTGGGCCATCTTCCACTGCACTCCCTGGCCACAGCTGAGAGCTGGCCTGGAAGAGGGGCAACCAGGACAGAATCTGGCGCCCCGACCGGGACTAGAACCTGGTGTGCCGGCGCCGCTAGGCGGAGGATTAGCCTACTGAGCCGCGGCACCAGCCACAATTACTCTTCAATGCCGCCTTGCTGGGTGGGCCCAAGGAAGCAGGTGTTGGGGAAGCAGTAGGTTGCCACAGGGACCTGGTCAGGTGGACGGCCATGCAGGTCCGGGACACAGCTGAGTACTCAGTCTCCAACCCTGTGCAGGCAGGGGCGCCTGTCCGCTGGAGAGCTGCCCAAGACACCAAGTCCGAGGGCCTGGGGGCAGAGCAGACACTGCTGCCGCTGCTACACGGAATGGCTCAGCACACTTTGGAGCCTCCCCAGGCTGGTCAGCGGACGGCAAATCCGGCCAAGGGGCCCACAATGGGTTTGAGGGTGCAAGGCTAGAGAAGCGTAGTTCGGAGCCCACCCCGCCCACCAAGAAGGTGTGCACAACAGCTGAGACAGCATGGACGTGGGGCCGACAGAAACCCAGGGTGGGCTCAGGGGCCAG